AAATTAGCGAGAACTAAATTAAGAGCCACTAAAAGTGGTCCAACCAGTCTTTAAGTTGGAGAGACTATGCTCCTTAAAGGATGGGCAAGGCATGGTGAGCCTTTGGTATCAAACCAATGATGAATATTGGTGAAGTGCCAAGAATGGAAAGGGTAATACATGTTGGTATTACTTTATAAAATAGTTTATCATTTGATGAGGACATCAAACTTCGTTTATGGGTGGTGGAGTTGTGAGACACAAAATCCCTAGGCCCCAAAGTGGAGCCGAAAGGGTGCCACATGGTAGTGGCCGAAGCGAAAGCCAAATGAGCGTAACACGTGTGGACTAAAAGCTCCGACTTGAAAGGTCGAGAGCTAGAGTGGAACTCCTAATGAAGTGCTCAAGGAATAAGTATGAAGTGAGCAATGAGTGAGTCTCTAGAAAAGGGACACAAGAGGACCAAAACATGACACGAGGAAGAGTCCGAGACGGACCCGAGATGGAGTTTGAGATGGACCCGAGATGGACCCGAGATGGACCCGAGATTGAGTCCGAGACAAACCCGAGATGGAATCCGAGATGGACCCGAGATGGACCCGAGATGGAGTCCAAGATGGAGTCCGAGATGGACCCGAGATGGACCCAAGATTAAGTCCGAGACAGACCTGAGATGGAGTCCGAGATGGACCCAAGATGGACCCGAGATGGAGTCCGAGATGGACCTGAGATGGAGTCCGAGATGGACCCAAGATGGAGTCCAAAGTCGAGACTGAGACCGAGACTGGAACCGAGACCGAGACCGAGACTGGAACCGAGACCGAGACCAAGGCTGAGGCTGAGACCGAGACCAAGGCCGAGGCCGAGACTGAGACCAAGGCCGAAGCTGAGACCGAGACCAAGGCCGAGGCCGAGACCGAGCCCAAGCTTGAGTCCGAGTCCAAGTCCGAGTCTGAGTTCGAGTCTGAGAGGGTGAAAGCCCAAAGCGTTCGTCTCCCAGACCCTGAGGGGTTTGGTGAGCTCCAAAAGTATAGTAAGGGGGAGGACTGCAGTGGAGCTAATTTGGCTAGGAAAGGTCAGTTTGGCCCAGGAAGGCTGTACCTAGGTGTTGGGTGATGAGCTGACTACTGGGAAGTCCAAGACTAGAGTGAATACAGACCGACAAGTGGGGTAGTTTAGTGAAGTATTCAAGAGCCGGCTCTAGTTCCCCCAGGAGATCAACTGGCCAATGCTCCCAGTCTAAGTGTGGGTGGCACTACCTACTTGGATACCTAGCGTGGCTCAATAGAACCTCGCTCTAAGCCCATGGTTAGAGCACCCAAAGGCGGAAGGCGGGGAGAGTACCCATGAGGCCCGCGTAGGGCCACGGTGTTCCAAAATGTTGTCCCAAAGTCTCAGACTGTGGAAAGGAAGTGGAGTAGCCCTCTGGTATGGCGACCAAGGACATAGTTACATAGTGAAGAAGTCCCAAAAGATAGCAAGACTTAATGGTTGGGCCTGTGGGCCTTGATCCATTGGCAGTGTTGGCAAACACGGCCATGGACAGAGAGGGACTTGGTGGGGACTGGAAAAAGGGTATTGGAAAGGGCTAATCCCCATGTTTGTGTGCATCCTAAGGATGCTAAGGAGTGGATCTGGGATGATCACTCATAGATGGATGGCCCAGTCCTTGAGAGACGAGACTGTGATATAGATGGTGTTAGACCACCGGTGCAACCAAGGTGAAGGGGCATAGCCTTAGTGTAACAGGCTGATATATTAATGGTACCTTGGGGTGTCAGTCATAGGATCGGACACATGGAGCACTTGGACCAAGCGCAATGGTTGAGTGGCATGGATGCCATTCCTGGGGCTAGCAAGTCCCTCGGTTCAAAACAGGACTTACGGAGGTTGTGAGTGAGACTCCTCTAAATGGTTGGAAGTGTGGTTAAGTAACTAAAGTAGAATGGAAAATTTAATTGCTTATAGCGAGATCTAGACAATGCAAAAAACTAAATTTAAACCAAAATCCTTAAGGGAAGAACAAAAGAAAAGAAATGGAAAAAGCTAAATCTAAACCAAAATCCCAAATTCAACCACTCTTCAGGGACAATCAAAGGTCTCACCTCCACCAATGTGAGTGCTTGGAATATGGAAAGGAATATAGAAAATGTGCATATCAATTAGCCTAAAAACCTTAGCTTATATACAAGAGCGAGTGGTCCGGATTGAAACCAATTCGACGGCTACCAAAATTCCATTACGCTAATATTAGTATACAGCATCGTAGCCGTACACTTGGCCCTCACATGGTTAGTAAACTATTTTTTAAAATACTATTGTTTAATCAAATACTGCATATATTATCATAGTTTTTCTGATAATGAGTTAAATTGTAAATAGCTAAGGCTATATATAAAAATATAATATGTACTTTATTGTTAAAGTTGTTTAATGTTTTTGTATTAACACTTGAAGCTTTAATTATGGTTTTACACATTTATAAAATTAAATCAACCCACATTTGATATACCATCACCTAGTGTTGAGTTTTATATATTTTAATGATATTTAGATAGGTCATCTGTACAGAATATAATCTTCTTATTATATTTGTAAATAATGTAAAAATTAAATTATAAAAGTTAATTTTGACATAAACTATTCAAATATTATAATAATTTATAGAAAAGAATATTTTTATGTAAATTTGATTATTTTATTCTTAAATAATTAAAAATAAAGTTATTCACATAAAAAATATTCACTCTCTTGGGTAACCGGTTAAACAAAATTTAAATCTCTACTAGTTTAGGATTTTGATTTGATGATGCCACTAAAAGACATCCATAATCTATCAACTCAACGAAATGGGTTTTGGGATTGTAAATCACTCCATTCCATTCACTAAAGAGTGAAGCACAAAAAACTACATTGCATACATTCACTAGGCTAGCTAGCAAAGCAACAGCACCACTCTTCGTTAAAATTACATTGCCTTCGTCCACTACAATCATAACTCTTACTTTAGAACGTATCAGAAAGGCCACACATTTAGAAATCATTGAAAGGCTGGCTGTGGCAGGGAATTCTTGTGCAAGTCTCCATAACAAAGTTGCTTCCAAATTCTCACAGGGCTTTTGAGCATCAAGGAAAATCATGTGGCGGCCTTCCTGAGAAAGGTATCTCACAGCGGCATGGTGGACTTTCCAGTGCCGGCTGGTCCGAAGATATACATGCCTTGCCTCTCATCGCAACTCAGAAATTACACCCTCTTCCGGTGCTACTTCTGGGTATCCGCAGATGAAATCGATCAGCCTTCCTTGCCCATACAATGGCAAGGGATCAAGTACAGGCCAATCTTAAGGATCCTAGCAAAGAAATCTAGAAAAAAATCACTTTTTATTTTCCATGCTAGAACTCTTCTCTTACCTTGGAGGTGAGGATTGTGGCGTCCTGTTCCAAGAAGAGAGTCATGTGGCTTGTGAGATTGAAGCATCTGGTGAGCTGATTGTTGTGCCTCCCAGCTCGCCAAAGCTGCCAATGTGATCGATCGCCTTCTGGAATGCCTTGGTGTTAAGTGTGATCCCATCAATCAGTCCCCAAAAATCAACAATGGAGAAAATGTGTGGCTGTGCCATACCAGCCTGCTCTCCTCGCTGTTGCATCCCTAGATAGCCAGCAAGCAATCACCGAGCAGGAATAGCAATGGCGATGCATTCTTCATAATGCTTTCTTTGCTCAATGGTCAATACATTTGCATGTGACATGTGTCGCAACACCTTCTTCCCTCGCCCCAAGCAGCTTGGCTGCCTCCCATTAGCCGAGAGCATTAGCATGATTATTTGCTAAGATGTGGTTAAAAAAATAACCCTTTTACAGTTACCTCTATCTGACGCTTGCCATTGGCTAGATCTGGCAGCCCAGAAAGTTCGGCACTCCCTCATTATGATAGATTGAGGGAACCCCTCCAAATAGTAATATTCTTAAAATATTCTTAAACACTCCCACTTATAACAGCTGTCTAAATTGGTTAGAGCGATTTTTTATCATAAAATATAAAGAATTCTGTAACTCACTCACTTAAACAGATTTTAAAAATTAGAAATTAGTGAAAATGTAAGTTACAACCATCCTGGATTAGAAAATTCCACATCTAACCTAAATAAAGTTATAATACTAACAATAATTAAAGGCTCAATGTTTCAACATCTCAAGCCTTTTTATCAATCCAAGTTTTTTTTCTTCTTTATCTTAGGCAAGTTGGACAAGATTGAGGCATTGGCAGAGTCGTATTGGTAGATTTTGTAAGATTAGTAAGGGAAACATACTTAAAGCTGGAATCAAACAATGACAGCCCAAGTTTAGATTAATATCAGCATGAACCGAATTCACCCACCTGCAAATCCAGAGCTCTTTCAGAAAAAAAGAAATTTGGGAAAGAAGAGCCAGCAAACAAACTAACTTGAAAGATGTCTTGAACCAGTGGAGCAATTGAATGAGAAAAAAATGCTTCTCTTCTTCTTTGGTTGGCTGGATCTTCCCTTCCTTGAGAAGAACAAAGAAAATCAAGGAAGAGGAAGAAACAAGCGGCCTCGAGCTCGCCCATCCCGACGTCCTGGGAGTTCACGAGCTCCACATATGGTCCGTGACCATGGGCAAAGTTTTGCTGTCGTGCCATGTCGCTGTGAAGCACGACGCTGATGCCGACTTGGTTCTCCAGAGACTGGTCGAGTACTGCGACCGGGATGTCGAGAGAATGGATGTGGATCATGTGTAGAAAAATCTCTTTTTTTCACTTTTTCTTGAGCGATATGACACTGAGGTGAGGAGTAAGAAATGCAAGACTACTATGTAGCCAAAATTTATATGATTGTGCTGGTTAAGGTGGTTATAATAAGCGTTGATTGGGTTATCAGAAACCATTTTTACCGAACATGGCCATGCCATACATGGCTATTCCATACAAGGAAATCTATTCCATATTATAAAACCGGAGAATACCACAATCGTAGAAGTAAGATAGAAGTTCTAGTTGAGAGATGGAAGCATTCAGGGTTCTTGTCATTGTTTTGGTTGCATGCATCTCGATATCCCAAGCTGCTAGCACGAATCCTCCAGTACAAGGCCTGTTTGTTTTTGGGGACTCAGCGTTAGATGGAGGACAGAACACGTACATCCCGGGCTCCAAGATTGTTAGCGCAATTCCACCATATGGAAAGACGTACTTCAGCAAGCCAACAGGGCGTTGGACGGATGGTAGAACGATTGCTGATTTCCTGGCTCAAGCACTAGGCCTTCCATTGTTGCCACCTTTCCTCGAGCCTGGCGCCAACTTTTCCAGTGGTGTGAACTTTGCATCTGCCGGTGCAGGCTTGTTAGATGAAACGAATGCCCATCAAGTACGTATACTCCTGTATTCCCCTCAGAATTAGTTGATTTTGATTCATTCTTTTTATCAGGGAGTTATTTCAATGAAGCAGCAGCTGCGCCAGTTTCGCAACGTCACAAATGAGTACAAAAAAGGGAAGGGTGTGGAGTTTACGAACCAGCTCTTGCGCAATTCAGTGGCATTGTTTAGCATGGGAGCTAATGATATTGCTAATGCTGTTCCCAGCTCATTCTTGTTCCAGGAGATGATACAAGCATATTCAAGTGCTATTCAGGTACTCAAGTATTACATTCACTAACTTCAAAACCTTTGGATTTCTCTTTTGATTTATAGGAAATTTACAATTATGGCATTAAGCATATCATAATTCTGCTAGCACCACCAATTGGGTGTACTCCTAACTTGAGAGCAGTATCAGCACAAAGCAGGAATACCAATTTAACTCCAGAGGGCTGCATAGGAATTATTAACAATCTTGTGGATTCATATAACACTAAACTCTTGAATCTTGCTGTCAAGTTACACAATGACTATCGTGACTTGAACATTGCAACATTAAATCCATCTCCAATTATAATGAACGTGCTAAGGAATCCTGAAAAATACGGTAAGAAACACTAATTATCTCTCCATTCTATTCATTAATATTTGTGTGTGTTCATCTAGGTTTCAAAGAAGCAGAAAAGGCATGTTGCGGTGGGGGGCCATTTAATGCAGCAGAATTTTGTGGGGATGCTGATAAACATGATTGGAAGCCAGATCACAAAAATAAATACATTAAATTCATATGCAACAATCCTAAGGATTACTTATACTTTGATAGCAACCATTTCACTGAAGCTGGTTATTGGTTTGTGATGAAGAATTTTTGGCATGGATCTTACAATATTGCAAGACCCAGCAACCTCAACTTCTTTTTTCAGGGGTTTAACATTCCAAACCCACCCTCAGCACCTTAAAAGTTTGTAATTTTTTTCTTATAAAACATTTCTTTTAGATGAAGCTTACCACATGTATCAATGTCCTTAACATTAACAACCTCATGCAGTGGAAGGTTGAAAGGATTTTAAAATCAATCTTTTAGATTAAGAAAAAGAACAAAGCTGAGGCACTGGATTAAGGTTTTACTCCGAAGGGGGTTCTAATCCCACTCTCAACACTAGTTCGTGATGATAAATAGTTTTGATCGTAAAAGTTGTAGGCAATGGTAGGTAAAACAAATGCTGTTGTTAATTGTGAATGTAAAAGTCTATGGAGGAAAGGTGGAACCTCGACGTTTTTACAGTCTCTCTTACGGCCGCAAATTGGAGCCTGCGTCAATGAGAGAGTTTGAGGGTAAACACGCATGGCTCCATTTGTTTTCTTGCAATCTGCAGTGAGTGGAGCGTCGCAGGAGTCCCTCCTCAAGATTGAGAGCAATGGTTTTTGTGGGGAGAGCTGGACAAAGCAACATGGATAAGCTATGGAGCACGGATAGGGGGCAATTAAGATGCTGAAGAACCTCTCAGGTGATGATAGGGCAGATGATCATCCAAGCGGCAAAACACAGGCTGCTCCATCAGAGGAGCAGACCCCTTCACGACAAAGGCATATTCCACCCTATTCATTTGTGCTGGGATAGGGGAGCGAAGTTGGCATTGGAGTGCTTCTATTCTCATGCACATAATCCATAAAGGTCATGGAATATAGGTCAAAGTGTCTTTTTCATGGTTTACATTTACCCTTATTAACAGATAATTAGATCTTTTTCTTACGCGGAATCGAACCTGGACCAAGTCCCTCCTAGGGTGGAGGGAGCTATGGGAGCTGCCACAGGGGCAAGAGCAGGCGCAGGGCTGGGGCGCCGCGATGGCGAATTCTCGCAGCGCTACCCGGCGGCGGCGGGAGAGCGGCGCATTGGCGTGTATGATCTCCGCCGAGGTAGGCGCAGTGCTGGCCACAATGCGGCGCAACAGCCGCTGGGCCGGGAGGTATGAAGAGCAGCTGGATCACTCCCTGATCTATTCCCTCAAGCTCCTGAGGCGATCTATCTTCAGCTGGACGAAAAAGCCCTGGAATTCCATCAATCCCTGCCTCTACCTCGCGCCTTTCCTGGATGTGGTGAGATCGGACGAGACAGGCGCCCCAATCACTGGCACGGCTCTCAGCGCGGTCTACAAGATCCTCACCTCGGATGTGTTTGATCTCCGGACCAGCCATGTCGACGAGGCGATGCATGCGATCGTCGAGTCCGTGACGAGCTGCCGGTTTGAGGTCACGGATCCGGCGTCCGAGGAGGCTGTGCTCATGAAGATCTTGCAAGTTCTTCTGGCTTGCATTGGCGGTGATATGGGGGCAGTGCTCGGGCACAGGGATGTTTGCAACGTTGTCAACACGACCTTTCGGGTGGTTCATCAGGCCGGGAACAAGAGTGAGCTCCTCCAGCGCGTGGCCAGGCACACCATGCACGAGCTCGTGAGAGCCATCTTTGGGCATCTCTCCAGCATGGATCCTCTCGCCGGGAACAATGGTTTGCTTGTTCCATGGAGCAACGTCGAGAACAATGTCGGTGTTGTAAGTTCCTCGTTCTCCTCTTTTTTTTCTTTGCTTGGTTTGTTTCGTTTGTTTTCTTCCTCTTGTCCGCTGTGAATTCTTCTTTCTCTTTTTGCTGAATTTCTAAGACCGTCCCTTTCTTCTTTGCTCATTTCCAATTGACTTTTACAGTTTCCTCTCGATCGTCTCTTTCTCTCTTTTTTATTCTCATTTTTTCGTTTGCACAGATTCGCTATCATCAAGGACTACAGCAGCAGCAACAGCAAATCTTGTCTCATCTAAGTCTTGGTTTGTAGAAACTCTTTGTTTTCTCGTATGATTTTCACGAGCTTTTCTTGCTTTGCTTTTCTTTTCTTCTTTGTGTATAGCGCAACAATGTGGACTTGTTAAGAAGCCCAGAGGGGAGTTGACGGAAGAAGAGTGGCGAATCGCTCGCGAGCAGTCGATGGCGAGGAGGGACGCACTGCATGGCTGTCCAATTTGTCACGAAATTTTTATTCGTGGAGACCAGGTAAGTAAGTGGTCTCTTGCAAAATGGCCACAATCTTTAGTTTTCTTTTATTTTCTTTCTTTCTTTGCAGCTTTTACTCAGCTGCTCTCATATCTTTCACAAGGTTTGGAGCTCTTCACGGATGGTCTTTTAGTGCCACGGAAATCACATCAGGGTGCCAATATTTGCAGCAATGCTTGAAACGTTTTGAGAAGTTCTCAAGGCAACGCTGCTGCCCGGTGTGCCGGACCGAGCACTATCAAACCATGGCCGTGAGGATACCATCGACTTTGTACAAGAACTTCTTTGCAACAAGGCATGGAAATTCCTTGTTGCTTTTATGATCAAAGCGAAGTGTTTTTTTTTTTTTCCGAAGGATACAGACGGCGTACAGGGCTTACAAGTGTCGGAGAGACTACGCTGAGTACAAATGGAGACATCCACCTGAAGATCCAGGCAAACGAAAGGAATGGTTTGCAAAAAAGGTAGTTTTTTTCTTTTTGCATATTTCTTTTCTCTCTAACCTGTGTGAGCATCAGCTTGAATCGGCTTCAAACAGACTGCTGGATCAAATGGCTGTAGACGAAGACAATGTGAAGCTCCTCTTGGCCAGCATCGACAACACTCTGGCCAGTAGTAAGCAGATTTACGATGTTCTTGGCAGCAGAGATCAAACGAAGGAGGTGGACAGTTTAAATCTTACTGAAGAAAGCGATCTTAATTGGCACCAAGTGATCGAAAAGGTACGTTCTTTCTTGCATCTATCTCAAGCTTATCATTATTTTCCAGGCTATTGAGAGATATGACATTGATCGTTCCATTTGCATAATGCCGCTGCAAAAGGATGGAGGATCCAACCTTAGCCTGCTCAGCTGCAGCCACTTATTCCATAGCCATTGCATCTCGGAGTTTGAGGCGTTCCATGCATCGGCAGAGCTCTTATGCCCGATTTGTAGAACCATGTAAAAGAGGTTCGACTTGTAGCAATTCGATACTCAGAAAGAAAACACTCCTTTTGACATTTAAGAATGAGAAATTACATGACTTAACAGGAACTTCAAACTTGGCTGATAACCAAAATTTAATTCAGGATTGGTTGACAAGCAAATTTAATTCTGGCTTGGAACGTGAAAAGGTGGTCCTGGGATGTGAAATGGTGGAAAACTGGAAGGAGGGAAATGGGAACCAGGGTGAAATGGTGGAAGATGGCCGGTCCTGGAATGAAAGGGGGAAAATTGAATGGTGGGAACTGGCCACCAGGTGCTCTTGGAATAGAAGGGGGAAAATGAAATGGAGAAAATATGTAAATGGCAACATTAATGTTATAATAAACAACCATGAAAGAAAGAAAGTAATATAGCTTTCTTGCATGATAATATAGTTATAAAAATAAAAGAATGAAAATGCAACTTAAATCATATCAATATAGTTATAAAACTTAATTTTGAAGCTTGAGAGATGGGATTGTGATGCAAGTGGTGTTAGACCACCGGTGTGACCAAGGTAAAGGGGCATGGCCTTAGTGTAACGGGCTGATATGTCGGTGGTACCTTAGGGTGTCAGTCATGGGATCGGACACGTGAAGCACTTGGATCAAGTGCAAAGGTTGAGTGGTGGGGACGCCATTCTCGGGGCTAGCAAGCCCAAGTCTGAAATAGGACTTATGGAGGTTGTGAGTAAGACTCCTCCAAGTGGTTAGAGGTGTGGTTAAGTGACTAAAGTAGAATGGAAAATTTAGTCGCTTACAACATAGTTTTTACCTATAGTGATTTACTATAGGATAACCATGAAATAAAATTTAAACCTTCTATGTGCCATGTGTCATATGCCACATGTCTAAGGACAATAGTGTGGAACCTAAGTTTCAAAGCCTTGGGCTACTAAATGAAGGAATGGAGCCAAACTCCTAAGCATGTAACAAAGGAGCGAAGGTACTAAAGCACATAATGACTCTCGAGCATATAGCCCAAGGAGTGAAAAGACAAAAGCACAAAGTGATTTAGAATAGTCTTAGAACATCCAACATCCTAATGTTAGAATCAACATGTCAAACGGAGCTAAATAAAATCTCCCCCCCCCCAATTTGAACATATCAATGGTCTGAGGATAGGGGTATTCCATTAACTAACATAGTGTGGAGCTTGGGTTTAAACCCAAGCTAAACATAGAACAAAGATATACATATAAGTAAAAGTTAAATTATACTTTAGATTAGTTAATCATGCCTGATATACCCACTATCCCTATTATACATTTGGAAAGCACCCCCCCACCATCCCTTTAGGAACACGTTTGGGCCTTCACCTTTAGCCACCTTTAATACCAGGAGTTAGTCTTTGGGACTAATTCGAAACTTACTAAATATGGAATTGCATTAATTTGTGAATTTTGGCATGGGATGAACACCATTGTGTTTAGGACAATTTTTACATTCCGTAGATATGCCAAATTAGCAAATCTAAACACTTTCCATAAATAGCAATTAAAACCAAATAGTACTAACACAATGTGCATAATAGCAAGGGTGTTTGGCAAATACAGTAAGCTATCATCCAATAATATTAAGGGACTAGTCTCAATATGAAAGGGTTTTTGTCAAGCTAGTGCAAGATAGAACAAAAGAGAACTAAGAGCTAGGCCAAATATGCTCAGTAAGAAAACATAAAAATTCTTACCTGATGTTCATTTGGCTAAATATAGGTGATAAGCCTAGTTTATTAACACTTAAACAAAAGGAACTAATAAAAGGTCCAGTAATACTAAATTCCTACCGTTGTAGCAGTAAAGAAAGAATATTCAAAAGGACTAACCGATAAGTAACTTTTAATACCTACAGTCACATTTGCAACAAAGATAAAAAGTTAACTAATGAATATCATTGTTATTAGATATTGCTTACACTTTGGACTTGCTAACTAGTTTAAAAATTCATTTAATGTTCCATATAAACAAGTGTAACATGTTTACACTCTTGTGATATCGTAGATAAATTAATCATCCAAATCTTAGAGATTGATGTTAAGAATGTTAGTCTAGCCAATATATTTGCTTTAAGGTTAGTGAAAATACATTGCAAAAAAAATTAGAAATTATACATAGATGAGGCTATAATGGGAAAATATGTAACACGTTTGGATTAAGAGCTCTTGATGGAATGGTGGAATGTGGCTTGAGGGTGGCCAAGCATATCCTGGATGGTGAGGAGATGCAGCATGAGGAACCTGAGTTTGTAAGCTTTTTCCTGCTGAATCAAGTAGAAGAGCATGCTCCTTCAGCAACGTTCGGCTGCCACTCACTTGCAATGCATTGAGAAAGATAAACACTTTAAAGATAAGCATTGAAATGATTTGAAAAGCCATCACAACTCAAATGCTTTCATCTAATCACTCAATTTATATTGGAGTCCAATGAGTTTAGACCACTAACTTAATTTGGCTATTATTATTTGATTATTTGGTTGTTCCAAATTCTACTCTTTATTGATCCTGTTTTATTATTCTAGATATGATATTGATTATAATTCCCCTACTAAAGGATGGAGCTAGATATATCACTAGAGATATACTTAAACTGGGATCAAACAATGACAATAATCTATCCTCCAGCCAGAGTAGAAGTTTAGATCAATATCAGAGTGAACCATGGTTCCATGTTTCTTCTTGCAATCCTCATTGAGCACTGTTTCAGACATGGAAGGATTGGAACGTGAGTGGAGTTCTTTGAATCCTTCTGTAAGGTGTCCATCATCGTTTGTAATGCATTAGTTTGAATCTATAAACGTCGCCTTTCCCTTTGCCGCTATCTTCTGGGTGGGCTTAACAAACTTAAAATCGGAGCATTTCTCCAGCCCACCACATCCCTGTAAGAATTTTGTTACCACTGGATTAAATAGCGAAGTGAGAACCACGTGAAGTGCCATGGCAGTGAAGCTATGGAGCACCAGCAGAGTTACAAAGAGTAGAAACATTTTTCCTGGGCGACGACAAAGAAACTTAAGAATGATCAGGTAAGTCACCAGGTTATAAGCATTACCATCTAGGCAAATTTGCAATAGTTTGACACATGGTACAAAAATCAATAGTTAGAACCATCCTGGATTAGAAAATTCCAAATCTAACCTAAATAAAACTATAATACTAAAAATAATTAAAGGCTCAATGTCTTGATCTCAAGCCTTTTTATGAATCCAAGTTTTTTTTTTCTTTATTTTAGGCAACTTGGACAAGATTGAGGCATTAGCAGAGCGGTAGATTTTGTAAGATTAGTAAGAGAAACATACTTAAGCTGGAATCAAACAATGATAGCCCAAGTTTAGATTAATATCAGCGTGAACCATGGCTCCATTTGTTTTCTTGCAATCCGCAGTGAGCACTGTTCCAGACATGGAAGGATTGGCATGAGTGGAGTAAACTGTCTTTGAATCCTCATCATTTGTGAGGCAATTGTTTGGATCTGCAAACGTGCCATCCCGTGAATTGCACTGCTATGGAATACGCAACTTTACCTCCAGATAAAGTTCGAGATAATAGCCGCCATTGAAATATAAGCAAAGGTGTGCTGCTGCCGTGGTTTGCAAGGGTTTATTGGGTGAAGGCGGTGGAGGCACTCTGCCAAGTTCTTGTCTTTAGGCATTGTGTTGGATTGAATCGGTAGGCTCCCGGATACATAGAAAAGGTCAGCGGGTCATTTCAAAGACGCCCAGCTTCTTGTTTTTTTTTTTTTTTTCTTTCTTTTTTCCGAGATGGCAATGACACTCAGCTCGATTCAAGGAGCTGTTCGGCAGGCCTTTGCATGACTATATTTTGTGCGTTTGTGACTGGAGCGTCGCAGGACTTCATCCTCAAGATCGAGAACCTCTTGGAGCTGGACAAAGCAACATGGATAAGCTATGGGGGTTAATTAAGACTCCGAAGAACCTCTCAGCAACAGGTGATGATAGGGCAGATGATGGCTGCTCCATCAGCCCAAAGGCGTAAACCACCCAGTTCATTTGTGCTCGGATAGGAGTAACTAGAGGAGCAAGAAGATGGCATATGTAAGACTATCCGTACAGGAGATTAGCATATGATCCATAAAGGTCGTTTTATAATATAGGTCAAAGTTAGGTCTTTCGTGGTTTACATTTACCCTTATTAACAAGATTTTCTCTTACGCGGAATCGAACCTGGACCAAGTCCCTCCTAGGGTGGAGGGAGCTGTGGGAGCTGCCACAGGGGCAAGAGCAGGCGCAGGGCTGGGGCGCCGCGATGGCGAATTCTCGCAGCGCTGCCCGGCGGCGGCGGGAGAGCGGCGCATTGGCGTGTATGATCTCCGCCGAGGTAGGCGCAGTGCTGGCCACAATGCGGCGCAACAGCCGCTGGGCCGGGAGGTATGAAGAGCAGCTGGATCACTCCCTGATCTATTCCCTCAAGCTCCTGAGGCGATCTATCTTCAGCTGGACGAAAAAGCCCTGGAATTCCATCAATCCCTGCCTCTACCTCGCGCCTTTCCTGGATGTGGTGAGATCGGACGAGACAGGCGCCCCAATCACTGGCACGGCTCTCAGCGCGGTCTACAAGATCCTCACCTCGGATGTGTTTGATCTCCGGACCAGCCATGTCGACGAGGCGATGCATGCGATCGTCGAGTCCGTGACGAGCTGCCGGTTTGAGGTCACGGATCCGGCGTCCGAGGAGGCTGTGCTCATGAAGATCTTGCAAGTTCTTCTGGCTTGCATTGGCGGTGATATGGGGGCAGTGCTCGGGCACAGGGATGTTTGCAACGTTGTCAACACGACCTTTCGGGTGGTTCATCAGGCCGGGAACAAGAGTGAGCTCCTCCAGCGCGTGGCCAGGCACACCATGCACGAGCTCGTGAGAGCCATCTTTGGGCATCTCTCCAGCATGGATCCTCTCGCCGGGAACAATGGTTTGCTTGTTCCATGGAGCAACGTCGAGAACAATGTCGGTGTTGTAAGTTCCTCGTTCTCCTCTTTTTTTTCTTTGCTTGGTTTGTTTCGTTTGTTTCTTCCTCTTGTCCGCTGTGAATTCTTCTTTCTCTTTTTGCTGAATTTCTAAGACCGTCCCTTTCTTCTTTGCTCATTTCCAATTGCCTTTCAGGCGAGGTCTCTCTTTTTTACGTTCCTTGCGTGACTAAACATTCTGTTTCTTCCTTTTGGACAGGAAGCTGATATTGACGCGCCCGACTTAAGCATTGTCGGTGTAGACTACCTTGGAAACGGGAATGCCGAGCTAGCTACAGGCCTGCTGGTGAAAGTTAGCGAGGAAGGGAAGCTGAGAAACGGAGAAGAGGAGCAGAGGACAATAGAGCCATACGGAGTTCCATGCATGGTGGAGATATTTCACTTCCTGTGTTCTCTCTTGAACATGGTCGGGCCGTATGGTCTCGGCGAAAGTCTTGGTGGCACCGACGAGGATGTTCCACAGTTTGCTCTCGCGCTTATCAACTCGGCCATCGAGTTTGGTGGTCCGTCGTTTGGAAAGCACCAGAGGCTAATAAGTTTGGTTCGAGACGAGCTCTTCCGGAACCTCATGCAAATGGGACTGTCGAGCAATCCCATCATCCTCTCGATGGTCTGCAGCATTGTGCTCAACCTCTACCACCACCTTCGCAGCTACATCAAGCTCCAGCTCGAGGCGTTTTTCAGCTTTATCATCATGCGGCTGGCACAGGGAAAGTTTGGGGCCTCGTACCAGCAGCAGGAGGTGGCTATGGAGACACTGGTTGATTTCTGCCGCCAGCCAAACTTCATGCCCGAGATGTATGCGAACTTCGACTGCGACATTACGTGCAGCAATACTTTCGAAGAGCTCGCAAACTTGCTCTCCAAGAGTGCTTTTCCCGTCAACTGTCCGCTGTCGGCAATGCACGTTTTGGCCTTGGAGGGACTTTTGGCCATCATACACAGCATGGCGGACAGGGTAGACTCGGTTCCAGGTTCTCCACTGGAGCCCCCGACGTTCCTCGAGATACAGGCGTACGTTCCATTCTGGAACATGCGTTGCGACGATTACAAAGAACCAAGCTCCTGGGTGGAATTCGTTCGGAAGCAGAAGTATATCAAGAGAAGGCTGATGATAGGAGCTGATCACTTCAACAGGGATCCGAAGAAGGGGCTGGAGTTTCTGCAAGGAATCCACTTGCTTCCCGAGAAACTGGACCCCCAGAGCGTAGCAAGCTTTTTCAGGTACACGACTGGGCTTGACAAAAACCTGCTGGGGGATTTCTTGGGTGACAGAGACGACTTTTGTCTTCAAGTTCTAGCGGAATTCACTCGGACGTTCGACTTTAGCAGCACCAGTCTAGATGCGGCACTTCGGACTTTCTTGGAGAGCTTCCGGCTACCTGGGGAAGCGCAGAAAATCGAGAGGGTCATGGATGCATTCTCTCAGAGGTACTGCGAGCAGTGCGTCAATGTTTTTGCGAACAAGGACGCTGCTTTCGTGCTCGCATACTCGGTGATAATGCTCAACACAGACCAGCACAAGCCCCAAGTAAAGAAGAAGATGAGCGAAGACGACTTTATCAGAAACCTCCGTGCTGCAAACGGTGGAGTGGATTTTCCTCGGGAGATGCTGAGCGAACTCTATCAGTCAGTGGCGAAGAACGAGATCCGAATTTCATATGATCTCGGGGCGGGCATTCCCGAAATGACACACAGCAGATGGCTCGACTTGATACGAAGGTCCAGGAAGACAAGTCCTTACATCGTCTGCGACTCCCGGCCTTTCCTAGATCACGACATGTTTGCGATCATGTCGGGTCCGACGATAGCCGCAATCTCAGTCGTCTTCGATCACGCGGAGGACGAGGAAGTTTTGCGAGGATGCCTGGATGGATTCCTCGCTGTCGCAAAGATATCCGCCAGCCACCACCTTGAGGACATCCTCGACGATCTCGTGGTTTCGCTGTGCAAGTTTACCACGCTCTTGAACCCGACTGCCTCGATGGAAGAACCAGTCCTGGCTTTCGGGGAGGATAGCAAGGCAAGGATGGCTGCAGTGACAGTGTTTACTATTGCCAACAAGTACGGCGACTTCATCCGTAATGGCTGGCGAAACATACTCGACTGCATACTCCGACTTCACAAGCTCGGGTTGCTTCCTTCTCGTGTCACGAGCGATGCAGCGGATGATACAGACGCGGCGAGTGAGTCTCAGGGGAAGATGATAGCCGGCGGACTTTCAGTGCCGCCTCTAGTCTCGGCTGGAGTTCGACGACGTTCTTCCGGACTGATGAGTAGATTCAGCCAGCTCCTGTCTCTGGAGGCCGACGAACCGAGGTCTCAACCGTCGGAGCAGCAGGTTGCAGCTCACCAGAGAATTCTCCAGACGATCGAGGCATGCCACATTGACAACATCTTCTCCGAGAGCAAGTTCCTGCAAGCCGAGTCGCTCTTGCACCTCGCGAAGGCGCTCATCTGGGCAGCAGGAAGGCCACAGAAAGGTACTAGCTCTCCCGAGGACGAGGACACCGCCGTATTCTGCCTCGAGCTTCTCATCGCGATCACCTTGAACAACCGGGACCGTATACTCCTCCTCTGGCAAGGTGTTTACGAACACATGGCTGGGATCGTCCAGACGACAGTCGTTCCATGCCTTCTCGTGGAAAAGGCGGTGTTTGGCCTGCTGAGGATCTGCCAAAGGCTGCTGCCTTACAAGGAGAACCTGGCGGAAGAACTCCTGCGGTCACTGCAGCTGATACTGAAGCTGGACGCGAGAGTAGCCGACGCTTTCTGCGAGCGCATCACGCAAGAGGTCATGCAGCTCGTGAGAGCAAACGCTGGACACATCAAGTCTCCCATGGGGTGGCGGACGATATCGTCGCTCCTGTCGATCACAGCTCGCCACCCAGATGCTTCGGAGTCCGGTTTCGAGGCACTGTACTTCATCATGCACGACGGTGCGCACTTAACTCCGGCAAACTACGTTCTTTGCCTCGATGCTGCTCGAGCTTTCGCTGAGACTCGCGTCGGCGGCGTCGAGAGATCCCTGAAGGCTCTGGACCTGCTGTCTGAATCAGTGAACTCGCTCATCAAGTGGTCTCAAGTGGCGACTGGGGAATCGGACGAGAACAAGGAAGACAGCGTGAGAGCCTCGCAGGAACTGGCGGAGATGTGGATCCGGCTGGCTCAGGGGCTGCGAAGAGTTTGCGGGGAGCAGCGGGAGGAAGTGAGGAACTGTGCCATCCTTTCGCTGCAGAGATGCCTGACAGCGGCGGAGAGCTTGCACTTGCCAGCCATGGTTTGGATCCAGTGCTTCGACCAGGTGATCTTCGTGATGCTGGACGACCTCCTGGACATCGCTCTTAGGAACTCTCCGAAGGAGTACAGGGGGATGGAAGGCACGCTCCACCACGCCATGAAGTTTTTGTCCAAGATCTTTCTCCAGTTTCTGGATCAGCTCGCGCTGCTACCAAACTTCCGGGCCTTGTGGCTGGCGGTGCTGAGCCGGATGGAGATGTACATGAAGGCCCGGCTGCGAGGCAAAGGCAGCGACAAGCTCCAGGAGCTCGTCCCGGAGCTGCTGAGAAACATACTGCTGATAATGCACGCTCGCGGTGTGCTGGTCCAAGGCAGTACGTTGGGAGGAGACAGCTTGTGGGAGCTCACTTGGCATCACGTCCAGACGATATCTCCGGCGCTCCAGCCAGATATCTTCCCGGATGAGAAAGCTTCTTCCACACCATCACCAGCACCAGTGACACCAGCGGTCTCGCAGGCAGTGGATGATCCAGCAGAGCAGCAACCAGCGGAGCAAGTCGAGTAAACAAAGAGGTACACTCGATGTTTTTTTTTTCTACTTTGAGGGAGATAGATCTTCTTTTGACTTTGTTGGTGAGTTTGCAGTGAAGCGGGGAGTTTGTAGAGAAAACGGCGCGAAGTGTTGTACGGAATTCGCTTGCGCGGCAAACTGGTCAGTGATATTTGCTCTTTGTTTTAGAGTCCTGGACTGATCTGTAAATCTTCCAGCTACGCACATCCAAACTTCATATAGAAAATCCAGCCTCGGCTTTAAACTTTTTCGTGTTTGACTGTTTGTATAGTATCAAACAAAGCAAACAATTCTACTTCTGAAAAAATGCAGCTTTGAGATCCAAAATATTGGCTAATCGCATTATTGCCATTAAAAATAAAATCTAAGAATACAACAAGGCTAAAAATTGTAATTTTGGATTTGCTCCATAGCTTAAAAAGACTCATTTAGTTGAAAATCTTAGGTGAGATGGCTTTTAAAATGTTTGCCATGTTTATGCTTGTGCTTCAAGTACTTCTACTCTTCAGTGCGTTGCAAGTGAGCTGCAGCCGGGTATTGCCGAATGAAGATACAGCAGGTAATAATTTAATTGTCACAGCTTATGGTTTTTAATGCTCCACCACCTTTTATTCCAGGTGCTCCATTCCATCTGCCTCCTTTCGTTCCAAGACCTCCATTCCAGCTGCCGCCTTTCAATCCAAGACCCTTGCCACCTTTCAATCCAAGACCACCATTCCACTTGCCACCTTTCAATCCAAGGCCCCTTCCACCTTTCTTCCGTCCGCCACCTTTCTCTCCACCTCAAAAGGATTAAAAGGATTAAATTTATCATCGAGTTCTATGTTGGGAGTTTGCTACAAGCTCTTTTAATTTGATCAAAGCTTTTTGCCTTGTTTCTATGTCGTAGGTAATTACTTAGAAAAAGTCTCGAGTTCGATTCTGGTGTAGCCAACTATATTTTAAAACTAGTGTGTTGGAAATTACACACGTCTAGCTAGGGTTAAAGACCAAGAATGGAGTGCTCTGAGAGCTATGGAATGCTGCCGTGTTCCACGCGAGTGGTCGGCAATGTCTACCTCTTGGCGACGTATGGATTCGTCATGCTCAAGGCGGCGCAGCTCTTGTCCGATGGGAGCGAGCTGCTGCTCACGGTGCTCAACCCGGGGATCATCGGCGGCCTGCTGCTCCCGATTCTTGGATCCCTACCGGATGCGCTCCTCATTCTCGGTGAGTTCTCGCGGATTCTCTGGATTAGATCTTCTGCTGTCCGGGAGCTCATTCGATTTGCGTCTTTGCAGTGTCGGGACTGGGAGGGAATCAAGAGACCGCGCAGTCGCAGGTTTCAGTTGGAATGGGATTGCTTGCCGGATCGACGATAATGCTGCTGACGCTCTTGTGGGGAAGCTGTCTCTTTGTTGGCCGCTGTGACTTATACCCCGTTAATGCCGATTTGGTCGCCAAGGACGGCACGCTCACAAGAGGTTTCAGCTTGACTGGTATGAATTTTTATCTGGGTTTGAAACGGCTGACCAAAAATGTGGTTTCGATTCGATTCTTCTTCTTGTTTTTTGTTCTTGTTTTCTTCCTAGGAACTGGAATCACAACTGATTCGCAGACCACTGTTTCGGCGTGGATAATGATCGCCACTGTTTTTCCTTACGTTCTGGCGCAGCTCCCGCATTTGCTACACCGGCCGTCGTATGGACATCCGTTTGCGGTGGTGAGCTGCGTGATCTCGTTCTGTGCCCTCTTCATCTACTGCGGCTACCAGGTTTGTTTGATCTTTTTGTCCCGAAGCCTGATACTCAGTGACATGGTTGACTCTCAGGTTGTGTCGCCATGGATTCAACAGAGGAGGATTTACTTCGCAAGGCATCGATACCGCCAGTCGCATGCTCTGCACAGAGTTCACGTCTACTCTACTCAGCAAGCTTGGGGAGGTCTGTTTCTCGAGGATGGGGTCACTCCAAACAAAGATGTTCTTCTCAAGTAAGGAAATTTTCCACAGTTTTTTACTGAAAAGCCCCGATGTGTTTGCAGAATTTTTGGATACTTCGATGAAAATGATGATGGTCATCTCTCGGAGAGGGAGCTGAGGGGTTTTATCGTAGGCCTGGGTATAACGCACGAGACGCATCTTCCCGAGGAGGAAGAGGTCCAAAGCTGGCTCAGAGAGTTCGACACCTCCAGGGATGATAAGGTGTCGCGGGAAGAGTTCGTTGCCGCCATCACCAAGTGGATGAGAAGCTTTCGTGCCAAGGATTCCCATAGAGACAATCCCGAGTACTGGCACTCACAGGCCAAGGACGCTCGCTCATCTCTGGATGCTTTGCTAGAGCAGCAGCCAGATGACGACCAAGACGATGACGAGCAGGATAAGCAGGCTCCAAAGCAGGTGATCTTGAAAGCATCGGCATTCATCCTCGCTGGGGCAGTCATCGCCGGAGTGTTCGCGGACCCTTTGGTCGACGCGATTGACAACTTCTCCAAAGCAAGCAAGATTCCATCCTTCTTCGTCGCTTTCGTAGCAACTCCACTGGCGACCAACTCGAGCGAAGCGGTGTCATCTCTTATGTTCGCTGCGAGGAAGAAGAAGCGGAACATCTCCATGACTTACTCGCAGGTATGCAAAACTTCGTAAGCTTTTTGTTTCCCGAGGCTCACGACTTTTATCATACGCACAGATATACGGTGCTGTTACACTCAACAACACGCTCTGCCTCGGAGTTTTCCTGGCCATTGTCTGTGCCAGACGACTTGTATGGGACTTCTCCTCGGAGGTAACTGTGATAGCAGTAGTCACCTTTCTGGTGGGACTGCTCGGGGGAAGGAGGACTACGTTTCGGCTGTACATGGCATTGGCTGTACTCTCGTTGTATCCGCTATCCATTGCTTTGGTAGCGGGTCTGGACTACGGGCTTGGATGGCACTGAGGCCAACTGATGGATTCTCCAGTCCGGGTACAGTGCTTTTGTTGTTTTCAACACGCTAATCAATCAATCGCGCTCTTTCTCGTGCCGAGCAACAACGAGGGTCATGTGAAAGGATAGGAATTTGTAAGTAAAGCAGGCAACAGGGACAGGGTTGACTTGTTGGATTCTGGAGACGACGTGTTGCACGACGACCGCGATCTTTTGCTGGAGAACAAGTGGCTTTCAGTGTACGTTTTATGTTTTTATTGAGAACTTCTCAGCTGCTGAAGTCCGTCAAGATATCTGGGTACGTCCGGTTTGATTTTTCCAGGGGCTGCGCCAAAAGTTGGGACAAGCAAGCAACTTTTGTTTGATGGGAGTTAACTGTGAGTGGACTTTCACATTGTAAAGTGACTCTTGCTTCATTGCCCAAAATGTCATTGCGCACTGATTTTTCTGTTTGTCACAACATATTAATATCAGTAATTGGTTTGGCTATCTTCATAGTTTCTTGCCTGCATAGTTTCTTGCGTATCGCCGATAGTAGTCATCAAAGGCATCTGATACATTTGCTTGTATCAAAACCAGTGAGATCAAGCAACTTTTATTTGATTGTGGTAGTGAACTCTTTTTGATAGAAAAAAAAACGAAAAAACACTGGCTTCATCCAGGTTCGAACTGGAGACCTTCAGTGTGTTAGACTGACGTGATGACCAACTACACCATGAAACCCTTACAAGGTTTGTCTGGAGTTACTAATTAACTACGCTGAACTCTTAATAAACTGAAGTTCTCGGGTTCGAATCTCTGTAGAACATTGAGAATCTTTAAAGCGACCTTATAATGGAAAATTTTCTCCTTCCCCTTTCATTCAATCATGAGGAAAGCGCACTGCCATCCCTTCTTGGAGTAGACGTCTTAGGGTTTTCTGGATCGTCGCTGTGGAGATCGGTCAGGGGATGTAGGCGATCGTCGTCGCGAGCGCGCAGCAGCTCAGATGTGCTGCGATTGCTCTAGATCTCCTGAAATTCTGGTTTGGATCAGGGTACGGTGAAAGCCTAGCAATGGGAGGCTGTGTGTCGCTGCAAAAGGAAAAGGATCATCCTCGCGGGAGGAAGCGCGATCGGAGGCAGGGATTTCGGACGCGATTCAAGGGCCTCCCTTTGGAGGAAGAAGCGATTGATGGGAATTTGAATGGAGATCATGGGCAGTCCGGGAGAAGGACTCTGGGATTCATACTCAACGAGAAAGAGCCTTCTCATCAACATCAAAAGTCGCTTGGTACGTTTTTCCTTTTTGTCGTCCATTCAATCGACCGACCATTTTAGGAAGCACCGAGGAGAATTGGTATGACGCGGAAGCAAGATTTACCTCGGATTCGGATGACGAATTCATGAGCGTGTGTGGGGGTAAGTCATAAAGGTCGATTTTTTTCCTTCGTTTGTGTGTCCCACTTTTCCAACTCGTGAGTCGTGACATTGTTTAGATTTTTCGTCCGCGGCGAATTCCTTGAATCCCCCTAGTGTGCCGACAACGCCTCGTCCAACACTCGCCAATTTAAAGGAGGAGATGTTGAGAGTCGACACAGTAGTGTCTCCGAAAACCGCCAATGGTTTCGCCGTAGCCGACGAGCATCTTCTCAGCAGTAAAATCCATCCGGAAGAGGACAAGAAGAGCTCTGTGTCCCTCGGAAGGAGGTTGATCGATGCCACTCCCAGGAATTCCAGCGTCAGTGTTGCTCCGGTCAGTGATGCTTCCACTGATTTCGAGATGGGAAAGCACGCAAGCCAGCACCAGCAGCAGGCAAAGGAATTCGACGGCTGCTTGCCATGCCTGCTAACAAGCGTCTCGTTCGAGAAGAAGAGTCCTCAGCGGCGACGATCGTTTCGACTGTTCTCGTTCAAGAGACGCTCGGATGTTAACGACAGTTTCGAGCTGCGTAAGTGTTTTGTATCTCCAACGTTTTCGTGTGACTTATGCTTGCGATCTGGTAAGTGCAGATGATATGTCCAAAGTTCTTCACAGGCCCATTGCAGCTACTCAAGTTCCTATGTCGGACGGCTCGGTCGAAGGCAGCTGGTCTAGAATATGTCCGTCGACCTTCAAACTAAGATCCCGTAACTACATGAAGTGTGTTGTTTCTCGTTTTGATGTTGGCATTGCTTGCTAACTAGTTTTTCCTCACAGGGATAAGAAAAAGCAAGCTGCGTCCAAGTTTTCAATCTTCGAGGCTGCTGGTGTGGATGTTTTCCTGTCGCCAAAGAAAATCGATCATGTCGCTCGGTTTGTGGATCTATCGCAGATTGTAGACGGAAATCCAGACGACAAGTCCCCCTCTTTGTTTATTTTCAACATTCAGGTTTGTATCTATCTTCCTTTTCTATGGGTTTGATGACGTTTACTTTAGGTGCCTATGTACTCTGCCTCAATGTTTCCAGCTGAAAACAATGGGGAAGGTTTGAACCTGGTTTTCTATTACAGAATGTCGGAAGAGTTCAAGAGGAACGGCCCTCCGTATCTAAAAGACATGCTATCTGTGAGTCTCTTGTTTTATAATCGCGTGTGAAGAATTCATTGTTTTGTTCCAGAAATTACTCGACGACGAACAGGAGAAGGTCAGAGGCCTTGTTGGAGAGACAACTGTTTCGTTCAGGGAGAGGCTAAAGATTGTGGCCAGAGTTTTGAATCCTGATGAGATACATCTCAGTGCTACGGAGAAGAGGCTGGTCGTGACTTCAAATGAGAAGCCCATTCTTTCTCGTCCACAGCACTCGTTTCACAAGGTCCGTTTTAGTTTTTTTAGCTAGATCGCATTGTTCTCATGGATGAATTCCATGATCCAGGGTCCCGGCTACCTCGAAGTGGATTTGGACGTTCATCGCTTTAACTTCATTGCACGAAAGGCAGTGGAATCTTTCCGAGAGAGGCTGAAGCTGTGTGTTTTAGACATTGGCCTTACAATCCAGGTGAGTGGTAGTAGTCATTCACAAGTTTTCTTCCTTCGTCGTGACTGTTCTTTGTTTTCTTCCTTCCAGGGAAACAAAGCGGAAGAGCTGCCAGAGCAAATGCTCTGTTGTGCTCGAATAAATAGATTAAACGTTGGTAGCTACAAGTATTTGAGCTGTGAAGACGACGCTGCTGGAACGCCTCGAAGCACACGGGGTTAATTAAGAGTTTGCGATGTAAATAATTTGCTCTGAATTAAAATTTCGTGAGGGGATTCGAACCGCGACGTTTCCAGTCACTCTTTATTTTTAGGGCTCTTAATGTCGGTACCATTCGAGCTCGTGGACGAAGAGGAAATGCAAGCGATCGAGGCCGCGCTGCGGCAGGCTAGCGCTTTCCATCGCAGCAGGATGCTGGCGGCAGCGGCACGAGCTCAATCGAGCCTGGTTCTGGTGGGTGCGAGCGAAATATTTTCGATTGTTTCGTGTTTTGAGCGTTTCGGGCATAGAATGTGTCATCGGAGGTGAGAGACATTGAGGATTCGGCGCCATTGCCAGCGGCATTGCGATTTCCATTGAAGAAGAGCCTGTGTGTGACCGACATGACGGCATTGGTGAGCAAAGCAATGCTAGTTTTTAAGATTTGTTGCTGAGTTGATTGACAGGAATGGTGTGAGAAACAAGTGGAGTTTTCTTTCTTGCGTGGGAAGCCTCCGAAAACTTCCGCAATGCAAGCCGGGAGCGCCCGGCACGTAGAGCTCGAATCAGAGGTAGCATTTTTTTCTTCGGCTTTCCTTCGTTTACTTCCTTTCGTTTCCAAAGCAGGTTGTTAAGAGAGTGGATGTTGATATACGAACGAGAGAAGATTTCTGGGCTGTTCGATTCATCAATTATTTGGTTGGCACTAGGCAGCTTCTAGCCGAAGGCCTCACGAGAGAACTTCCCATGTAAGCTAGAACAAAAGACTAGAACATGAGCTTGCTTCTTACAATCTTTGTTTTTGCAGAGTAGCATTTGTGGAAGGCAACTGGTGGACTGGTATCATTGACGAGTTGATGCTACCCGAAGGTAGTGCCGGACCTCGCCTAATTGATACGAAAACACGCTTACGTCAGTCTCTTCCATCCGACGCTCAAAAACGAAATGGAAGGTGCTCGTCTGTGTGTCTTTGCACGCTGATAGTATTCTTTGTGGCTTTACAGGTTGCAGCTAATGTGCTACAAACTTCTGTGGGACACATTGTGCGAGCAAGCTATCCCTTTGGATGAGTTTTTCTCAAACTTTGAGCTCGATCCTCTACAGGAGCTGTCCCTTAGCATAAGGTCGCATATTGTTGACATAAAGCTCAGCTCTAAAGTAAGTGCATGCTATGTGACTCGTTTTCTGATAAATAGCTGGTTTTGAAAAGGTGGATTGTTTGAAGGAATTACTCGGCGTTCTTCAAGAAAGTTGTACTGTCCTTCCTCTTGCTGACCAGCTATTGAAGCTAAGGTATGACTCGTTTGGAAATTCACCTCTATAGAAAAAACCTTTTGGTCTGCCAGATACGAGTGGCAAGTTGATCGCTCTTTAATTGGCGAGGAGGAGTTTATGTTTGACCCCGACTGGTTGAAACAGAGAATCCAGTTCCATCTGCAGTTTTGGAATGGTAGGAGGGAGTCACATCTTGTGTCGCAGAGCGACGAGTGGAAGTGCAGATTTTGTGCATTTGCTGACCGATGCAAAAGTGAAAATCAACGCTGATTCATGCTGCGTGGCTTGCATGACTCTCACGGCAAGCTCAAGGTCCGTGTATGTTTGGAACTGCTCCTTCTAAGTGTGCTTCACCATATAGGTGGAGGAACTTCGATCTCGTTTGAATTCATGTAGACGTTCTACCGTTTAGACAATTTTGGAGTCAAAGGCGAGGTAAACTTTTGATGCATTTTTGCGTCTACGGTCTTAACGAAGCATTCAGTCCGTGACGAGCTTACCAACGACTAGAGCAGATCAATCGTTCAGCCATGAGCGCTGTGCTTGTGCTCGCACTAGCACTTGCAGCTCGTATGTTTTCTCAGGCACTGGGAGGTATGTGTGTGGATTTCTGGCTTGTAAAACTGTTTTAACACGTGCTATGTTATGCAGGCTGTGCTCTCGCTTTCAGCTCCTTTGTAAATTTGAGAGTCAGTAGCCGTGATCCGGAGAAGTTTTGCACGAACACGGCTGGATACCTGTATAGAGTTCTAGCTCTCCGTGCAAACACCACTGTGGGCCAGCCATTGTTCGTGGATCTGGAAGACTGCTGGAAAACTATTTCTGGCTTGGATCCGGGGCACAAGTGTCGAAATGTTTTGGAGCTGTTCTCGCCGAACCACACCCACCCGTGTAAGTTTGATACCATGCAAGATCTACAGTGGAGCTTTGAACTCGCCAGGCTCAAATTCGAGGAGCTCTTGCAAAGCTGTAGAAGTTCCTTGGACAACTGTTCGGGGGCTCTAAGCTACGATGTCTTGCAACTGGAAATCAGTGTGAAGGATTTGCAACAGAGATGCGGAGATGCAGTTCGAGTTGCATTGCTCAGCACCGACGTCTTTGATGATTTCTGGGCACAGCGTGTTTTGACAGCCATGGCTTACTTCAAAATGACTAAATCCATGTTCGTGTCTCCATATGCATATAGCTAAGTTTCAAAGGTAAAATTCATGCTCTTTTCTATTTCCTAACATCCTCCTGTCCCCATGCAGAGCGTGCGTATACAATTTCGTTGATATGTTTATCATTTCTGGTGTTACTCGGAATGACGGCCACAGTTTTGAAATGCATTTTCTTGAAAGTGAAGGATCCTTTGGGACGAGTTCACCACTCAGCGGTACATGGAATGTTGCTGTTAAGAATTCTTGGAACTTAAGATGCGATGCTTGGTGTTGTGTTCTACAGGAACTTGAGGATAGTAAAGCTGTGGAAAGCATCTGAGTATAGCAGCATTTTGTTCTCAAGCCACACACAGATTGTCTTATACTTCGAGAGAGAATTTTTTATGAATAGCAATTGCGTCCTCTTGTGTAGGTGACGTTCCTCCTATTCCATTGTAAATGCCTAAAACGTCATATTGTTTTTGAGGACAATGGTTTTTAAACTCTCTCAGTCTTTAATAATTTTATTCTTTTTGACACACTGATCTTCAATCCCTTTGAAAAACTATTTTCCATTTAAATCCCATTTCATAATTTAAATACTTTCCCATGGATTTTGTTCATAGCCACCTCAAGAATTTAATATGTAAACAAAATAGAAATTTAAAAGAAAGAGTTTTTAATGGCCTTTTGCAAATGAAATATATAAGTATTTCATTTTAGTGTTTTAAAAATAATTTTTAATTTTTGTAAATAATGATCTTAATATATGAATTCAAATAATAGTGAATTTGGTATTTAAATACAAGATCCACTTTTGTAACACTTTATTTAATTAGATTATAAAAATAATGAGTATAGAAAAGAGACAAATAAAAAGTAAACTCAGTTACTTTTTTTGGTGATGCATACCATAAAGTGGAATTACATCTATGTATTAAAATTTTGATGCACAATATTATACTAATATTGATTCTCAGTTATTTATTACTTTCTGTTTTGTTATTTATTATTTTTCATGAAATTAAGGTCTAGAAAGTTAGTGAACTCCTCCTTGTCATATAATATAAAAAAAATCAAATCACAATATTAAGAATTTTTCTAAAAAATTATATATAAAAACTAACTCAATTCTCAGGATAAATATTTTTCTAAATAAATTAGAAAAGAGTGATTTAATTTTTATTATGCCTATAATACTTGATAAGATAGCTCATAAATTATATTTTCATCTATTGTATTTAGATCCATTATTAAAACTACTTACGATATAAGTAAATTTTGATTAACAATCTTCACTTTACAGGATGCAAGGAATAAAGACAAATCAATGGAAACATTTCAGACGTTTCCTTCTCGATTTCTGAGAACATGCAGAAATTTATTGATTTCGACACGATGCTTGCGGACTTTCCATTCGTAGGAATTTTTCCAAATATAAATTAATCTCACAATTATAGTATAAGTTCAACACACACTTACCTCTCCATCCTCATCTCTTCCACTCTTTTCTCTTATCTTCTTCTCAATCTCCAAAATCTCTCAAAGGATTTCCATGGATTCTCTTCTCTACTCCAGCGGTTGGTACTACTGGACGACTTGTCTGTGCTTGGCGATCGCATTCTTTGCGCTGCTCAATCTCTACTCGAGGAAGAAGGCGCATAGCAATCTTCCACCCGGTCCCTTTTCCTGGCCTCTTGTTGGATCACTGCCCTCTCTCGGCCGCTCCAGGCACCGCTCTCTCCATCGTCTCGCCAAGAAGTATGGACCAATCATGTATATGGAGCTGGGAAGCCGTCCTCACGTAATCATCAGCAGCCCCGCGATGGCCAGGGAGGTTCTCAAGGATCACGATGTCGAGTTTGCGAGCAGGCCCCAGTTCCACACCTTCTTCAAGAACGTAAGCCACGACTATAATGATCTGGTGTTTGCTCCTCACAGCGAGCGCTGGAAGATGTTGCGGCGAGTGAGCGGCACGGAGATCTTCGCCGCCGGGAGAGTGAACCACTTCTCTGGGATCCGCAAGCGCGAGCTCGCGGCGTTTGCCTCGATCATCGAGAAGTCGGCGGCTGCCGGGGAGGCGTTTGATCTCACCGCGCTGCTCCACGAGCTCTTCACCAACTTGATGACGTCGGTTCTCTTCGGCCAGAAGTTCTATAACTCGGACACCCCTGTCACCCGAGAGGCCGAGGCTTATCGCGCTGTGTGGGACACGACCATCGCGGAGTCGGAGCGGCTGTACATCGGAGACTTCATCCCTGCGCTGCGATGGGTCGACAAGATCAAGAGGAGCGAGCACAGGTTGAAGAACCAGATCATACCGGCAGTGGAGAACTTCCTAAACGCGATCCTCAAGCAGCACAAGGAGAGCTTCGTCGCGGAGAATCCTCCCAGGGACTTTGTGGACGTGATGCTCTCACTGGGTGGCGAGAACAAGCTGGACGACATGGCGATCATCGCACTCCTCCAGGTAAGGAGAAAAAAATCTCTTCTTGCTCGCTAAGAACTCGTGCTCGATTTCTTGATAGAATCTTCTCTTAGCTGGGACGAACACTTCCAAAGGCACTGTGGAGTGGGCGATGTCCGAGATGATACGCTGCCCCGGCGTCCAGAAGAAGGCGCACGAAGAGCTCGACCGGATCGTTGGAAGGAACCGCTGCCTGGAAGAGTCAGACCTCAAAGATCTCCCTTACATCCAAGCCATCGTCAAGGAAGTCCTGCGCTTGCATCCACTGGCCACCACTGGCCTCCCACACAGCAATCCCGCGACCTCCCAGCTCGCCGGCTACACAATCCCGGCCAACACCACGCTGCTCGTCAATATCTGGGGGATCCATCACGACCCGGCGAACTGGAGCGATCCCGAGAGCTTCTGCCCAGAGCGATTCCTGGGCAGCGATCACAGCGTCCTGGGGAACCACTTCGATCTCATACCTTTCGGATCCGGGCGGCGCCGCTGCGTGGGAATACCGCTGGCGATTCCCCACGTGTCGCTCACGCTGGCCTATCTTCTGCATCGATTCGAGTGGAGGATGCCGGATGGGCAGGAGATTGACATGGAGGAGACGACGGGGCTGGCGACCATGCCCGCCAAGCACCGGATTGTCTGCGCCACTGTGAGAAAATGAACAACTTTACGGATACCTTTAAAATATTCGTATTTGCAAAGTAGGTTATCCCGAAATATTTCGCAAACCTTTGATGCTCCATAAAGGTAGAGGGTAGGGTTGGACAATTAAAGCTATGTTGGATCTGAATTAATGAAGATTGAAGAGAATGGAATGAAAAGGTACACGCCCAGCTTGTGAAGACAACATGATTAGTTCTTGGAAGAACACCAAGTGGATTAAGGTACAGCTCACGTTGATCATTTGTGGACCAGAATCAATAAATGTCTGCTAGTTCTGGGAAATGCAAGGCAATTAGAAACAGCACCTGCTCAAACCTTGCCAATTACCCACAAATGGGATCGGGGGAGTACTCTGGACTAGGAATTACTCCAAGCCATTACTCACTTAACCCAAGACAAAGGACCATGAATTTACATATATCTTTCCACTCCTTTCTGTTATCTCCCATTTCTCTTCTTCTCAATCTCCAAAATCGAAAGGAATTCCATGCACAATCCCGGCCAACACCACCCTGCTCAAAGCATTGTTAAGAGCTCTAAAAAGTAAAAATAAACCTTTTATTGTAGGGCAAGGCAGCTTCCAAGGCGTGGAAGGCGCAGCAGAGGCAATCCAAGGCTCCAAGGCGAGGCGTGGTGCCATTCAATTCGAGTTTGCAATCTGATTTTTAAGCTCGATGCCCTTTTTAAGCTTGATTTCCACAGAGCGTTCAGACCTTTTGACGTGCTCAACAGTCTATAAAGGTAAAGCCTGTGGCTTTGGTGGAGTTGCAGGACAGAAAACATATGTTCATTTATGTCCATTGGTAGTAAGCTGGGTCCAAGCATGGCTCAGAAGGATTACACAAAGGCACAGGCCCAGATAGAGCAAATGCAGGCCCAGCTAGCCAAGATGGTTGGAGACCATATAGTCCCTGATAAAGCTAGTGCAGGCCCAAATAGCCATACTGTGTAATGCTACAAGACAGTTAAAGAGCATAAGAATATATAGTTTTTGGAATAACACTAGGCATGATAGATGTAGTTTAAAGTGCAGGAAGAGTTCATAAAAACCATGTGGTTCACAAGTAGTACCAAAAGCTACAGGGAAATAATGAAGATGGCAGTTAAAGACTTATGTACAGCCTTTTTGAAAGCAAATACTGTTACGACTACAATATCATTTGGCCTTTTAAATTTTAATCGTGACAGTGTTCATCTTTAAAAAGGCTGTACACAAATCTTCAGTTACCATCTTTGTAAAATGCACATTACTTCCCTTCCCAGGAACTCTGGAATTTGAAATACTTGTGAACCATAGAATTTTCATGAATTCCTCCTACACCTTAAACTACATCTTCAAAGCCCTTATCATGCCTGATACTATTCTAAGAACCATAACTTCTTGTGCTTTCTCATGCTCTTCAACCGTCTTTATAAGCTATGCCTGTACCTTTTCATGGTCTTTAACTGTCTTGGTTCTTGTACTAGTGTTTGGGAGTGCTGCAAATGTTTGTACAACCTTTCTTAAGATGAATGCTGTCACAATCACAACATTGTTTAGTGTGGTAAGTTTCAGTCTATCTTCCTTTGTGGAGCTCTAAGTTTTTATATACATTTACAACTGGAACAAAGAAAAACGAGCCTATTAGGAACTTTCAGGCCATAACATTACACCGTGTGGTTTTTATGTGCCAAACGATGTTGTAGTTGTGCTATACACGAGAACCACACTGTATGATGTTATGGCCTGAGAGCTCCTCTTTAACAAATTCGTCTTTCTTTGTTACAGTCGTGAATCTTTACAAAGGAAGCAAAAAGTTAGAGCTTCACAAAGGAAGAAAAATCTACTAAGTCAGACAATGCTGTAGTCGTGACAGCGTGGTTCTCGTGCTGGTGCACGGATGTATATACAGCCTTTCTGAAGGCGAATACCATCACAACCATGATATGGTCTAGCCTAGTAAGTTTCAATCTATCTTCCTCTAATCCTCTATAGACATTTAGGATTGGAACAAAGAAAAACAAATCTGATGTCATCCAGTGTGGTTTTTGTGCTGGTGTTGGGAATGTTGCAAATGACAATGGTGTTGTCCATGAAATTGATGCTCTCGTTGATAATACTTGTCGAATGAGGGATTTCATTTTTAAGTGCTTTGGCAAGGATCTAGAAAGTCACTATGGAGGAGTGGGTATAGTATAAAACCATGCTGATCAAACAACACACAAGTGGTCATCCAGATGTGCCATAAGCTACCTCCCAGCTCGAGAAGGAGCATGTAGCTCAAGTGGATGAGCTCTTAACAAATTATCTCAGTTACTGACG